CAAGGTCAATTAATAGCCACGATTAGTATTCCGAAATAAAGTAATAGTACCTCAAAGCGTTAAAACTGGCAACTATAGGATGCTTTTAGTTATAATAATTATATTGTATGCTCTCGCTATTTATGTGATTTCTTGGTGTTATCTATGCTGTATTTTGTATTTGTCGCGTGCTTTGCTGTTACTTCTCGAATCTCCGGGTGCCGCGATTGACTCTTTCCTATTCGCATAAAACTCTGTTAAAAATCTAGCGAATTGTAGTCGCGCTTTCGCCGGAACCTTTGTTCGTGATTTTTATTTATTCGTGTGTCCTTTGGCGTTCGTGATCCGTCCTATTTATTTCGCGCCGTTTGTGAAAATATCAGAACCATCTGTTTAGTCTCTAAAAAGTATTCTAAAGTCGAATTGCTAGGGACGGCCCTGTGCCACGAGCGCGTCACGAGCCTCCCCGCTCCCCGCAAACTCCCCGAGCTCGCCGCTCTCGCGTGCGCCGTCTACCGCGCGATACCCGCCGTGCTACTGTAAGCGAAACGCCGTAGATCGCTGTACGCCTTCGAATACCTTATTCTATCTGATTTCGAAGACTATGGTCTAATATTATATGTCCGATTGATGTTCGTGGATTCGTTCCGCATTGTTAGCGTCTTTTGCGTATATCTTTCCGCGTTAGTTTAAGTCCATTCTTTATTGTAATCTTTCCGCATTTAAGTAAATTCTTTAGAGCGTATTATTTAGTTTGACACACCTTGTACCTTTACAATCCGTATACTGTGCGTTTTTTGAATTATACAGAATCACCTTTGCGACGTTCAATCGATATAATTAGTAGACTTTCTTGCTTATGTTTCTCCGATTGATACTCATTCTATTGCTTGCTTATCTATGCTTACGTTTTTCTTTTCGCATGTATATTATAGATGATAATGCCATTTAATCCCTTGCGGGGTACAACACGGACTCCCGCTCCGTTTACAATATCACTTACAACTACTGTACAAAAGTTACTCTATTTTCTAATTGCCCTATACTACATAATCTATTTACATCCTCGCTCTTTCATACACCTCTGCCTCGCTCGCCAAAAGAGAAGAAGAAATTCAAAAAGAAAAAACTCTTTTGTCTCAGTCTCTCATTCACTCTCACGCTCGCAACACTCTCTCCCTCTCTCACACTACCGACCTCCGAGTCCGGCGCTCTTTACTTAAACCCCGCCTAATTCTCCTTCCCTATATCTCCCCTTTCTTTCCTTATCCTTTCTAATTCCAATAGCCATCTTTCCCCCTGTCCTGTCTCCCCCAACACTTCCTCTCTCATTTCTTGCCATCCTCTGTCTATCCCCAAACCTGAGCATGCCTCCCATATATGTTCCCACGTCTCTTCTCCATACCCACACATTCTACACCTCTTTTTTTCCTCCTGCTCCCAGTACATTCCTCCACTCATCTCATCTCCTAACCTAAACCTCGATACTTTGCTCCACCTCTCCTCCTTCCAACCCCTCTTTAGATACCCCGGTACCCCCTTCCCCTTGACGAATTTATACTCCTTGTTCCACTTTGAATCTACTATCCTATCCCATCTCTCCTCCCTCTGTTTCCTTCTTTCTATGTTTATTATCTCCTCTCCTCTCATGTTTCCTGACTCCCACATCTCTTCAACCTTCTCTACCTTCCAGCCTCTACTTTCGTAAAACTCTCTTATCTCCCCTTCCCATCACGCTCCCCCTTTTCCATCTCTCACCCTCTTCTTCATTTCCAGTCTACATCTTCTCGCTAGCTCCCCTCCATCTTCCTTCCTCTATACTCTTTTCATACCCCCAAGCCCTCATTCCCGCCCTTGCTTCCATCTCCTCCCTTCCTACCTCCTCCCTTACCATATACCCTGGCACTCTTCTTGTTACCCCTAGTACCCATCTTAAGTACCTCTCCTGCAGCCTTTCTACCCTCTCTCTTTTCCTCCACCCCCAGATTTCTACCCCATAACTTACAACCGACCAAACCAATTTGTCAAAAAGCCATACCCTTCTTCCCCAGTCATCTCCGAACTTCCTTTTCCCAATTGCCCATACCTGTCCTAACACTTTCGCTCCCTTGTTAACTCTCTCTCTTACATGTTCCTCCTGATCTCCATTCGTCTTAAGTACATACCCCAGATACGTATACTTTTTAACCTCTTCCACTTCCTCTCCCATCCATCTCCAGCTCACCTTTTTAAACCTCCCACCTCCTTTCCTACATCTCATCACCTTTGTTTTCCTTATGTTTACCTCTAACCCTTTCCCTTCCACATATCTCTCCAGCGTCCTCATCATGCCTCTCATCTCATCTTCCTCTCTCGCCATTAACACCACATCGTCCGCATACGCTAGTGAGAACAATTTCTTCCCCCCTCCCAGCTCTACTCCCTCCCATCTGCCCTTCTCCAGTTCGTCGTCTAGGTTCGCCAGGAAAAGAACAAACAGGAGGGGGCTGAGCGGGCATCCCTGCCTTCCCCCTTCTCTGTCCAGAACTTCTCTCCTACCTCCCTACCTACTCTGACTCTGTTACGTGTTTCCTCCATCACTACCTCGCATCTTCTCACTAGCCCTTCCCTTACCCCTCTTTCCCTCATACTCTCCAACAATTTCCCCCTGTCTACCGAGTCAAAAGCCGCCCTGAAGTCTACAAAAAGCAACATTAGCTTTCCTTTCTTTTTCCCTACCTCTCGGCTAATCAGGTAATTTAGCACATAGATGTTGTCCACAGTCCCCATTCCTTTCCTAAAACCTGCTTGACTCAGTGGCAGCAACCTTTTTCTTTCCACCTTCCTCTTCAGTCTCCTTTCAAGCACCCCTACGTATACTTTGTACGCCGTCTGCGTCAGTGTGACCCCCCTATACTCCTCCACCTTTTTTCCCTCCCCCTTCTTCACTATAGGAACTACTACGCCTTCCTTCCACCCTTCCGGCCACCCCTCTCCTCTCCACACTCTTCTACACATCTCCCATAATGCCCTCTCCATATTCTCTCCTCCGTACTTCCACACTTCATTTGGAATTTTATCCTCCCCCACCGCCTTCCTGTCCTTCAGTCCCTGCACCACCTCCCTTACTTCCTGCAGTGTGACGTCTTCTTCATCTTCAATCATCTCTCTTTCTAATACCTCCCCTCCCCTCACTCTCTCCTCCGACCCTCCCAGCACACCTCTGAAATATCTATCCCATTCATTCATCGTGATGTTCTCATTCACGCCCTTCCTTCTTTTTTCTTCCCTTATTTACTGCCTTCCATACCTGCCCCTTGGTCCTTATTGCCTTTATCTCCTCTTCCCACTTCTCCCTTTCCGCCTTCCTCTCGTCCTCACACAGCTTCTTGTACCTCCTTTTTTCCTCTCTGTACCCTACTTCATCCCCCTTCCCTTTCTTGAACTCCACCAGTTTCTCTTTTAAAGTCTCCTTTCCTTCCCTACACTGCTCGTCCCACCATCCACTCCTCCCTCCTTTCTTCTTCAGCTTCTCGGTCTCATTTAGCCCCTCTACAATTTTCTTTCTCAAACTCTCCCACCCTTCCTCCACGCTCCGCTCACCCCACTCCCACATCCCTACCTTTTCCTGAAACAGCTCTTTCCCTCTTTCTGTCCAGATGCCTCTGCCTATTCCCTCCCCTTTGTTCTGCCCCTTATGGCGCCTCTTCGCTCCTTCTCCCCGTACCCAAACCACCACAGCCGATGATCAGAGTCACCCCTTCCCTTCCACTTCCATCCTCAGTACCCTATTTCTCACCATTTCACTCATCACTATGTAGTCTATCACCGAACAACCTCTTTCTCTATCCTATTTCATTTATTAAATTACACAATTTTTTCCCTTCCTTATTAATACATCTGTCCTTCGACACCCTTTCTGCCACTGGGCCTTCCCCACTCCTATCTAACACCATACCTCCTTCCCCTCCCGTTCTAGCATTGAAATCCCCCCGTATAATCACTCTACACTCATCCCCTCTTTTTTCCTCCTTCCTTGTCCTGTCCCCCTACTCTTTTTATCTTCTTTCTACCTCCTACTACTCCTATTATCTCTTAGATCCTGTCTACCGCCTTTATGTGTTCTTCCCCTTCTGCCGTTTTCACTTCTTTTATCACAATGTTATTCTTTCTTATTTCCCGTTCTCTCCTATCCAATCTAACCTCTAGATCTCTCATCCTTTTTTCCTCTATTCCTTTCCTTCTTCCCCCTGTCTCTGCCCACTCTTCTCCATTTCCCCCATTTCTCTCCCTTTCCTCCTTTTCCAGCCTGTCCTTTTCCAGTCCCTCCACTTTCCTCTCTAGCTCTTGTATCCTTTGCCTCATCTCGACTCTCTCTTCTTCCCATCGTTTCCTCATCTCCTCTCTCTCCTTCCTCCCTTCTCTCGCTAGCTCATCTACCCTCTCCCTTATTCTTTCACACTTCGATCTCATTATATCTTCCATCCTCCTCATCATATCCTCCATTCCTTTCATTCCTGTCTCATTTCCACTTTCCTACTCCTCTTGAAAACTTCGTCTGCCTGTTTGCCCGTCTCTTCCCCTCACACCGTTTGCCTTTTGTACACTGTCACTAAACACACCTTCTCACAGCGTCACCGGAAACGGAAGTCCACTTATTTAATATAAAAATATGTAATCATATCTTCATATCAAAATATATGTATACATAATAGGTGCAAACCTGTGTGGCGTAGCACGAAAATTAAACGAAAAAAATCTCCAAACATGGAATATTGCGATTACTAGATCATATTTTGTGAAAATATATTTTTATAACAAGATAATATATATGATAACAGTAAAAATATACTCATTTAAAATTTTTAAAGATAGTTGCGCTTTTTTCCGATCAGGAGGCGCCACTATTCTATGCGATTCGCATTACACTTGATAGATGGCGCTACGTTAAAAATCTAAGTCACTAGCAGCCAACTTCAGTTCGGAGTCGTATACTGCAGTTTACCTCTACCCCCTCCAAGGGAGTTGCAAGACCTGTACGTACGACCGTGGTTAGGACTTCACATTGCGTAGATGTCTGACAGTTGAGCCATGCAAGCTGTAAAGGCTATTTTATGTGCGATTTCATAGAATATATAATGTTCAATCAGTTGTAGAGATTTGATAGAATATAATGGGTACAAATGCGCCCTTTGTAGCAAGTGGATTTAAAGAAGACTGCATTAAGTTGATCCAGCGGTTTGAGCAGTTTGACAATGTTCGATTTCAGGATTTTTCACAAATTTGGAAAGAAATGCAATTTTCATTAATATTTACGTATGTAGATTTTATGACCATTTAAATTATTTCAAAATAGTTGTTTCATTTTTTTTTCCAGATGTCGACCTTCTTCGACGGAACTTGCAGAATTCTGTGAAGAAGCAATGCATATAGCGAAACTTTTTCTTCTACCACCATATAAATTTAAGGAACGCGTAGCTGGATTATACTTGGTGTATGCTTTATATTATAAAATCCCAATAGACAATGTGAAAGTTCGTGTTAAGCAAGAAGATTGGATACATATTGTGGAATTTCAATCTATCATCGAGGAGGCTGAACATCAAGATGCTAACTTTATATTATCGAAATTAATAATTGAAAATGCCTTCGTACACTGTGTATTTGACCATGAGGTCCTGAGTTTTCTTTTATTCAATTATGTTACTGTTGTTACATTATTGGTTTACACTGTATAATCCATATTTACAATTTATTACAGTATGGCCTGGAAAAATATCTCAGAACAAAAAAACTTAAAAAAGTAAAACGTTATTCAGTTTTACCAATGGTCGAAGACTTGCTAGAATCAGGCTGTCTGTTAACAAATGTAAGCAATTTTAGTAAACTGTACCATGAAAAAAAGTGTGGCATATCAAAAAGCAAGAAACCTGAGCGTGGATTGGAACTATATGATATAGATTATGTTCATACATTATTTAAAGAAATTCATGAACTTACTGATCATACAGAAAATAGTTCCATGGAATCTAGTAATTTACTTGATGAGGATATAGGGGATGAAGATTCGAAAGAAGAGACTTCCAAATTGTTTTCCATGCAAGTTTATAATTAATTTACTATAAATTTAATTCCGCTTGGAAATAAGTAAATATAAGGTATACCAATTTTACTTTTTAGGAGATGTGGACTAAATAAAGTCAGACCAAAAGTTGGTCATGGTTTTGATACAGATACTTCAGATGATGATGACTCTTTAACACTTAGTCCATTGGAAGATTATGATTCTAACTTATCAGAAGACTTGAAACGCACCTACTATTTATCAGATTAGCATTTAAATTAGATAGAATAAATGATTTTTACTGACATTTTTTTCTGTATATGCTTTATTACAGGGTGTAAAACATACGAAAAGAACGCTTTAAGTACAAGACATAGAACTTTAGAAATTTTAGGAATGAACAGAAGCAGTGAATGTCTCTATTTTCGCCACAAATAATAGAATATTTAAAGTACGTTGCAAAGTTGATACGTAATGAATTCAAATGAATATATAAATTAGGAAGAAAAAATTAGTCCCTATTTGATCACTTCTCGCTCTCAGCGTTTAGGAATATTGTACCATTGGTTACTAATGGCTAACACATTTTAATACACCTTTAGTTGATTATTGTCATCGAAGCCTGCACTATGCCCAGCATTTCGAACGATGAAACTGGTGCCGTCGTAATGCATACGTCTTTCGCCACGACGAACGAAAAGGTGCGAGGTCTGGCCTAAGGAGGCGGTACAGTGGAGGAAAGGTGTTGTCAAAGAAGCCGTTCCGTTACTTGGAGATGTTCTGAGTTGATATTTATTACTATTTCGAGCGATCCTATTTTAAAAATATTGTATTCAAAAAGTAGAATAAATTTGGTAAATGGCGAACATACCTAACGAGACCATCCGGAGTTTGAGAAACGCGAACATTATTAATAATCCAATTTTCAACGCCTTCATCAGTTAACCAGTACTGAGCAGCACCTAACGCTGTGGCTGCTTCCTGAAAGCAAGCTGGACCGTGTCGAGAATCAGAGAAAAATACGCTCAGCGAAAAGTCCTGAAGACAATAATTTCATGGTATATACAAAAAGATAAAAACTGAATTAATTAAATCGTGATGAAATTACTTGACTCATGTCAGAAAACATATCTGTCGTTGTTCTCGTTCCAGCAGCATCCACAAGATAAACCAGAGCACATTGCTCTGAAGTGAAACTAACTCCTTTATACCACATTTTTGCATACCTACTAAGAATATGAAATATAATCATACATTTCTTGTGCATTAAAGTCAACGAACTTATTATTTCCGTGAACATCATGGGCAAGTATTTCGACCCTGGAACCATATTGATATATTCTTCCATTGGGATGAAGTAATGCTGCAGCAGCCCCAGATCCACTCAGTGATAGAACAATATTATTCTAAAGCAAAGGTAAGCGTTTTAATACAGAATTTTTACGGGCTGTCAAAGGACATCTTTCAGTACCTTGAAATTGATTACACGAACAGCTCTATCTATAGTCATATCCACACGTATTCTGTTGTGAAGCCGCAATGATATCGTGCCGTGAGGAGTAGCAACAGCACCGCCAACACCAGCATCTGTATCGTGTTCTCTCCAGTTCTCCGTATAGACACAAGACTCTTCACCAGTGTAATAAGATGTAGCGCTGTGTTTAGGATTTCTGGGTTGACGCCAAATACTACCAGTAGTTGTAGAAAAACCTGTGCCGGATATGGCACTCCATTGTTCAGAAGGTGGAGTTTCAAAAAATTTGGAATATTCGTTGTACCGCTATGATTGAATATTTGATAAAACGTCCTGTCATTAATACTAGGCCAATTAAATGCAATGCGATATTACTTCGAGAAGATGTGTGCAGTGTTTAACCATTTTTGTATGTATATCCTAGTGTTCTTTTTTTAATTTCATATCTTGAATAAAAACTTTATATCATATTAATACTAAAGCACTAAGTTACTGCAGTTATATCGCCCTTATCTAATCTAGCTAACGGCGTTGCATCATCATTATTTGACAAATAAAATTTATTCTGATAGCCGACTTATTTTTCTCCCAATACTATTTTTAAACGATTTGTTTAGCGTATCTCAAATATTCAAGTTACAGAAAGAATATATATTTTTTTTAAACTATATAACTCATTACATTTCTTTAGTCGCTATTTATTAGATTGTTAAGTTAGAATTCCAAGATTTTTTACAGTGGCAGTTATTGATGTACTCATAATGAAATGGAAGTATACAAATGTCTCACTTGAAAATTACTCTCGTCATTCTGATTAGCATGATAACTGTGGGCCGTATAAAGAGATCTGGGTCGCATAGGAGTAGCACTAGTATTCTCCCTTAGCATTAAAGGTGCAGAACTTTGTGTTTGTATGGAATGACTTTCAGACTGTCCAGAGGCTCTTGACATGTCCTTAGGGAACTCCGTTGAAAAAGTAGCCATATTTTTTACCTGAAGAGTAATGGCAGCTCTCAGAACAGTATCAAATTTCTTTTACCAATATATAATGTTCTACCTTGGACTTCGTAATAGAACCCGTTTTAGACTTTTTCTGGCGAACTTTGCAACTCCTTGAGATGGCCGTTTGACTTCCTTCACTTAAACAATCCACGGTTGAATGATTTTTCTTCTCAATTTCATGGACACTATGAAATTGAAATAATTAGCTTTCACCAGCGCCCTACCATAAGCTTAATGCACGTGATCCTGTGAGATTAGAAAGGTAAGTCTACTATTGTCCCAAAGATAGTACAAAGTGAAAAGTTTTGATTTCGTCAATGAAATGATGAAAAGCATCAAGAAATATAGGACTGTTGTTAAATTGGTTGCTTAGTACTGTCATTTTTGTTTTGCGTCGATATTCTTCTGTCGTGTTCGAACATTTGCCATAGATTTTCTTCTGTCTGACATATACAGCCAATCACGAAAGTTTTCATACACCTTTAAAATCGGTATGTCGTTTAAGGTAATCAATCATTATAATCATAATAGTAATAGCGATTGGTAGGTTAATCAATTAGTTAACAGAATTTCAATATTTCAAGTTAAAAAATAAATTAGTGAAAATATAACAAAAATTTTGACCCATAAAGTATGAAAATTTATCGTACGGAAATAAAAATATCGAACTTCAAAATTGCTTATATTACGTACATACAGTATACCTATTTATAAGTCTGTCCATAAGTTCAATGTGTTTTTGGACAGTTCGCAAATAATGCAAACCTTAACAAATTGTACATGATTATGCATAGGTACATTTTTATTACAAAGCATACATGTGTATAGTTTTGTACTGAAATATATTTTATTTTTCTACCATACCTTAACAATCTGATTAAAATCAATATAATTGGAACATCCCAAATGGGTTCACGAGCGACATTGATGAAGCATAACGTTACAGCGGGCCGAACGTTAGGCAAACATGCTTTTAAAAAATGTAATACAAATACAAAATGAATAAAACTTTTCATTTTTTTTTAAACATTCTTTGTATACATACAACGAGAAACAAACGTTTCAATAGAAATATAAAATCTCTCGGTGGACCATATAATTTAATGTGGCGGGCCGCGTGTTGGCCAGGGCTGTCTTATGTTAAACAATAATTTTTTAATTGAAATTAATGGGAATCTCATTTATTCTCAGTAGTTAATATCTAAAAGATTTGATAAGAAATTATTGATGCACAAATCTGATTCCTTCCGACTAGCTATTTTCAAATGGTTTTAATGGTCAATATAATTTATAAGTTCTGGTATAAGCCATTAAGAACATCGTAAAATATCTTCAGGATCGATAAGATGTCCTATAAAAATTATATAAGTTTATTTTCATATATTTTTAGATTCTATTTACACAATAAATAAAATATAATGTAAAATATATAAATATTTTAATATTATATATATATTAAGGTATAACTATCAATTATATAAATATATTATATTATAAATATATCGAATATATAAATATCTGCAATATATAAATAAATAAATTTATAATGTTCTGAATATAAATGAGGATATATTCCGTAACAGAATCAAGACATAAGTTATCCAATTTCAGCCAAATGCATCGTCTGATTCTAGCTGTTAACAAAATTAGTCGATGTTATTAGGCTGAATTTAATAACCGGATCATGTTTCAATTATGGAACATAAATTAGAATCAGCATGTAGTATAACACTTTAACCAGATAGTGGAACTCAGTGGCGCCTCATAGGTAAAATTAGTGGGGGTCTGCTCCAGAAAATGTTTAGCCTTTGTTATAAAAATGTGTAAAAGGAAACAAACATATGTAAAAAGAAAATTTATTCAGAAACTTGATAAAATCCTAACAAGTATAAAGAAAGAATTAAAGAAAAAAGGACTGATTATATTAAATTTTATCGATAGTATTAAATGGAAATGAGGGGTGCTGCAATTCCACAGTGCCTATACGCAAGCTGCGACTGGTCAGGCTAATCTGATAGAGGATAGCGCGCACAATACATACGGAGACAACTCCCAGATGTGGAGTCTAGAAAATCTCACTCTGTATACTTACTGTCCTCTAAATCAACTTAGAGTTTGTACGTGATACATTCTTCATATGCAACTCGACATGTGAAAGAAATACTTTTCTAGGGCAGATATAAACCTCCTGTAAAAATTCTATGAGACGTCTAAATATGTGCAGTGTGTTTTCCCTAGGATGTCCGGAGGATCATGAATATGCGGACATTTGGAATTTCTCAGGATATCCAGAGGAAGACTCCAGACGTTATCAGGATGTTCAAAGGACTTCCGGAATACCCATTTAAGATATCCATGGGATTTCTTCAGGACGTCCTTGTGCTGTCTGGGTTATGTCTAATTACATTATGCATAGAAAAAATATATACTCTCTATTACCCTGGACGAAATTTCGTACGAACTACTAAACCAATTTGTGTAAAACTTACACCAAATAACAAGTTCTGGATATAAACAGAACAGCAATATTTACAGATGTCCGGAAGTTCTAATTTTAAAACTATGCACGCCTAAGTAACCGAAAACTGAGTGTCGTATGCATCAACATATCCGGGGCAACCGCTTAATCAATTGGATTGAAAATAGGAAAAACCATAACCGCGTAGACGAAACAATAATGTTTGCAAATTTCATGTACTTTCAGTAGTAAAGTTCCGTATGCGCAAAATTCTTTTTTTTTGCAAAAGTGAATGTAGGAAATGTAATTGCATGATTCAAGTGGTCGTGCCTCAAGGAAAACCTGTTTGCGTCGATAATTTATTATTCATAGAGTCATATAAAATTAATTGTTTATTCTGAAGATAACACAAGTCTTGTACAAGTAAAGGAAGATATCAGGACAAACAGGTTTGCCTTTAGTGCACGACCGCCTGAATGATGAGATCCCATCTTATATCTTTGCTGTTGTAAAAATAATATTAATTTCACGGCTTGAGACCTTTCAAACTGGAAATGTTCGATATTTGTAAATTTTAGTTTCATCTAGTTGTTGATAATTTTTCCTAGCAATTTTTGTTATTTAGATTAGTTAAACGGAGAAGCCAGATATTGGATACACACATATGATACTAAGTTTTTGGATTTTAGCACGTATATCGTTTCGAAACTGCAAATGCATCTGCAAATGTATCGTGCATAAAAAATGGTTTGCGTTCAAAATATTAAAAGTAGGGAACACTTAAAATAACTCATGACAATTTATTTAAAAGAGCCTAGCTTTATATGCATTTAACAGAGTCTACGTTAAGTATATATGCGTACTGTACTAATATTTAGAGTCACTATTTCAATTTCGAAACCTCATAAGAAAACATTTTGTTCCATAATTTCGGTTTAGTTTTTCATAAAAAATTAGCCCCTTCCCGGGTGTATCCTAAATTTAGGATGACCCCGCGTATTACAGTCATATTAGTTATTTCTATAGTTTGATGTAAATTGCATTATAGATTCTATAGAAAGATTAATTTTTTTGTATAACAAGAAACAATTACCGCCTTAAACGTCAATTGAAATGAAAATAGACGCAGCTCGATACGTATCTAATAGTGCAAGAATTTATGTATTATTTATTCATTCTTATTTTTTATTCCCATCCGTCTTTATCAGCGAACAGATTAGATTCTTTTTTCAAAGTCATGTCATCAACTTCTGATTAGCTCCAGAATTTATTCACATTATTGAGTTAGATAATTATTATTGTGTGGGAAAATGGAAGAAACTAACATGATAACTGCAAAATGATCAAATATTTCGTATTTGCATACAACAAAGTGAGTTATTGATATATTGGGTTGTAGCAGAATTAACATTGGTTATAAGTACATTAGCGTTCTACTTAAAACCGAAATTATTTATGTTACAACCCAATAGAATGTGTGACTCTTGTATAACAGGAATTTATGATGATGTAACATATCTTAGAAAATCGTCAAATCGTCACTCATCGGTGTATCCGTCAATCAAACTTTATAGCTTATATTCAACATTTATTTCTTATCTCTTGGAACATGGCATCAATTATGTAATCGTCTGGAATTATATCTTGCGGTAATTAATATTTATATCAAGAACACGTGGAGTTCTTGAATTTATGGTGGGGACGACTAGTTTATCTTGCTGAATTTACTTCTTAGCTTCAGTGCGCTGTCGTATCTTGGTCTGGTTACGCGCACCACAAATTTTCCAGAACAAGTCTTTCGATTTTATTGCGTTATTTGATTTTTTATTTCACAAATATGGGAAGTTTCAAATTAATTAAACTGATATTTCTACTAGCTATTCTACGAACAAATTTAGGTATTCTAAAAACTTTTTAATTTGTTGTCCATATAACTCGTACATAATTATTTACAAGTGCTAAACTATTATATATTATGCGTTATGAATATGGGTCTTATTAGGTGGAAAGACTTTCTTTGAGATGTTGCAAAAAGCTACCAAGCATTCGGGTTTTTTACGTGAATATGAATCAGATATCGAATGTATTAAGGATACTCTTCGTTTAGTTACTGTGGTAAGTTTATTATGCACTCATGATGTGTGCTGTCAGTTTTTCTCTTAATAGACTTCAGAGTAAATCTAAAGAACTATCTGAAAATGTTTGTCTTTGTAAAATATACTTGTTTGACGATATGCCTTATCGTTGGTTTAACGTTTGCTATACATTACTCTACGCAATGGCTGCAGTATGGCGGAGAATTTGCACACTATGAAATTGATGCTTAAACCTTCTGAGATTGAATACATTTTGGAAGTTTTATCGATTTGGTATGGCTCTTATAAGTTTTACTTTATTTTGAAGCAGCGACTATTGTGGGAGAAGCTCCTCAGGCACCACAAATTATGAAGATATTATGCTTTTTGATGTTTCATTGACGCCTCATGTCTAAGCGACGTCTTTTTCACATGAAAAGTCTGTAAGACATTAAAAAACAGAGACATAAGACCTTCTAAAAACGTCTTGTCAACATATTCATAATTTGTGATTTCAAGGTGCAATCAATGCAAAAAAGCAACAATGTTATGGAATAGTGAATTGTGTAATTTTCTATTATCTCCTACACCTTTATCTTGACCTTACTCGAACTATCATAATATTCTCACGTTGTTTTAAAATTCTTCTTTACCCTTTTATTTTTATTTTGAACTACTCTTCAGCAACAGTAGTCATTATAAAATTAATACAAATTCACAGTGTAATTACCAAAATATTTTTAGGTTTTTAGACATGGTCAAAGAACTCCAGCAGACACTTATCCAACAGATCCTCATATAAATGATTCCATGGTTCCATACGGTTGGGGACAGCTAACCAACGTAAGTTTTGTCCAATTCTTTTATTGCAATCTTAAGAGAATCATGTGAAATCAATTTTGCGAAGAATTTTTTGAAATTTTAACTGCACATTATGAAGGCTACCTAAATATCTTTGCAATTCAAGAAAAATGTCACGTTTCAAAACAAAGATAATTGCTATCAGAGTTAGCACTTTCTATACGTATCACCCATATCAAACAAATGCAAATATCATGTTCTTAGCTGTGTCACCGAATAGGCGTAGTGAACTCTCAATATAGTTGCGCACTCGGAACTAAAATGGGGCTCTCGTGAGAGTGAGAAAGAGAGAGAGAGAGAGCGAGAGTCATTGATTGATTGATTGATTGATTGATTACTTTTTGTTTATGCCATAGCTAGATTTTTTGGCAAAGTGGATTGTCAATACAAACATATTCTTCGAATAGAACATATGTATGTGTGCTTACATAGGCGCGATATTCAATCATAAGTACGATTAAAAACATTGAGTGAGATAGTATGTGTACGTGATAGCTTATACAGGGTGTTCGTTATGAAACGCACTGTAGTAACACCGTTGCATTCCTTGTCAAATTCTAAAGAATACGTGTATTTTCATTTTTTATTTCATATATCAAAATTTCGAGATAATCAAGGTTGAAGTTGCAGTAACGCGACCAATCAGAACGCGTTTAAACGGAGCGTAAATGACGTCGCGAGTCAGCCCACGAGGCCTGCTTACACGAGGCCAATAACACTAAGAGTATCGTCTCTTGTATCTTACTCAATTGCATGCAGATAAACAGGGACACTACGATGATACTCTTAGTGTTATTGGCCTAGTGTAAGCAGGCCTTGCGGGCTTGCTCGCGACATCATTTACGCTCCGTTTAAACGCGTTCTGATTGGTCGCGTTACTGCAACTTCAACCTTGATTATCTCGAAATTTTGATATATGAAATAAAAAATGAAAATACACGTATTCTTTAGAATTTGACAAGGAATGCAACGGTGTTACTACAGTGCGTTTCATAACGAACACCCTGTATAAGCTATCACGTACACATACTATCTCACTCAATGTTTTTAATCGTACTTATGATTGAATATCGCGCCTATGTAAGCACGACGTACTCTTTAGAATTTGACAAGGAATGCAACGGTGTTACTACAGTGTGTTTCATAACGAACACCCTGTATACGCAAGAGTTTTCAATTATGGTGTTTAATGCTAGAGTAGGAACTACCCAGCAAACACTGAATATAGTAGTTACATTACCTGGGTGTAACAAGTAATATAACAATTTGTACATTACAAGAACATAACTGCTCAATGATATTTTCGCAAAGGTGGTACATAACAATGGGTATAACTATTATATAACATTTTGGTTATAACAACCATAATAACCCAGCAAACACTGCAACATAATATAAATGTAACAGTAGCATAATGCAATGTAACAAGTAATATAGCATGCTTATTACAAGTGACTCGCAGGTAAGTTAAAATGAGACACTCAAACGAATATCACGTTTTTATCAATGTTACAGAATATTGGTATATGAATGTTATCAAACTTACAAGCGATTGTTATATTACATGTTGATATCATTTATATAACCCGTGTATCATGTAGAGCCCCACACAGCACAGAAATATTTTATCAATATTGCCAAAAGTTTCCCTTGAAATAATGCAATATTACGGAAATATATTAAAAATTGTTTAAATATTTCTGGAATGTTGCAGGAATCTTGCAATGTCCGCTCAGCACGTTGCAATCACAATATTGTTATAATATTGCCGGTCAATATTTCGGAAATATTAATATTATAATATTAATAAAATATAACTCAGATAGCATCTGCGTATTGCTAAAATGTATTACAATATTATTGCAATATTTCTTGAATATTGCTGTAATCTTACACCATTCTCTCTGCTGTAAAATATTTCAGTATAAATGTCGTATTAATGATACGACATGTAAATGATAACAATGATGCATTAAGCGGCTTAATTATTTACCCGGTTCTACGTTTTTTCATGCGAGTTGCCTTGACCACCTAGTGGCGCGGCAGCGAACTAGTGTTCGCTCGGATACTCCGTGTCTGGTTAGGGACTCTTGTCACAGAGTATACCGAAATTTCTAGTCGGTTATGAATTTATCGATACCATGTAGATGAACTATTTCTATTCAAGTATTGTAATTTTCAGTCCTGAATGTATGATTGCATTACGGTTGATTGACAATTCTTCAACCTCTTATTAATAATCAGAGTCGAATATATTATATTCGCTAAACGCATATAAAGTTAATGCTTGATTACAATTTTACAAAACAATGTACATCAATACTCATTTGGTTACTCTTCCCAGCAAACACTGAATATAGTAGTTACATTACCTGGGTGTAACAAGTAATATAACAGTTTTTACATTACAAGAACATAACTGCTCAATGATATTTTCGCAAAGGTGGTACATAACAATAGGTATAACTATTATATAACATTTTGGTTATAACAACCATAATAAGAGTAACCAAATGAGTATTGATGTACATTGTTTTGTAAAATTGTAATCAAGCATTAACTTTATATGCGTTTAGCGAATATAATATATTCGACTCTGATTATTAATAAGAGGTTGAAGAATTGTCAATCAACCGTAATGCAATCATACATTCAGGACTGAAAATTACAATACTTGAATAGAAATAGTTCATCTACATGGTATCGATAAATTCATAACCGACTAGAAATTTCGGTATACTCTGTGACAAGAGTCCCTAACCAGACACGGAGTATCCGAGCGAACACTAGTTCGCTGCCGCGCCACTAGGTGGCCAAGGCAACTCGCATGAAAAAACGTAGGACCGGGTAAATAATTAAGCCGCTTAATGCATCAATGTTATCATTTACATGTCGTATCATTAATACGACATTTATACTGAAACATTTTGCAGCAGAGTGAATGGTGTAAGATTACAGCAATATTTAAGAAATATTTGCAGTAATATTACAATACATTTTAGCAATACGCAGGTGCTATCTGAGTTATATTTTATTAATATTATGCATTGATATTTCCGAAATATCGACCGGCAATATTATAGCAATATTGTGATGGCAACGTGCTGAGCGGTCATTGCAAGGTTCCTGCAACATTCTAGAAATATTTAAACAATTTTCAATATATTTCCGTAATATTGCATTATTTCAAGGGAAACTTTTGGCAATATTGATAAAATATTTCTGTGCTGTGTGGGGCTCTACATGATACACGGGTTATATAAATGATATCAACATGTAATATAACAATCGCATATAAGTTTGATAACATTCATATAACAATATTCTGTAACATTGATAAAAACGTGATATTCGTTTGAGTGTCTCATTTTAACTTACCTGCGAGTCACTTGTAACAAGCATGCTATATTACTTGTTACATTGCGTTATGCTACTGTTACATTTATATTATGTTGCAGTGTTTGCTGGGTAGTTATTAGTAGATTTAGAAGAATTATGATAGATAGTGATTATGATAGTGAAGATAAAATAGATCATAAAGAAGAAAAAGCATTCTGTAGTCTTCTATAGAAGCGTAAGTAGATCAAAGATTGAGTAGAAGCAAATTGGATCAGTAAACACTAATTAATATACAGGGTGTTTCTTAAGCCCTGGACAGGGGAGATACCGTTAGATCCGGCGTGAAAAAATAAAAATATTGGCATGAAAAATATTCAAAATTTTAAATTAGTTTATTAATTATTACGGATTAAAGTAAGCCAATAATAAGCGCGTGAGAACTGGTAACTCCTCCTTAGTCTCCTCCCATTTGGGACAGCCAATCATTTAATTCCCCACAAAAACAGTGATCGGTGGATACGTAAACGAATATAGTAATGTAAATAAACAAAAGAGTAACGGAAATAAACAAGAGAATAATGCAAAATGTTTTTTGTGGGGAAATAAATGATTGGCTGTCCTCAATGGGAGGAGACTGAGGAGGAGTTACCAGTTCTCACGCGCTTTTGATTGGCTTACTTTAATCCGTAATAATTAATAAACTAATTAAAAATTGTTAATATTGTTGACGCCAATATTTTTATTTTTTCACGCCGGATCTAACGATATGTCTCCTGTCCGGGGCTTAAGAAACACCCTGTATATTGTACATGAGAATAAGATATAATAAAAGATATACTTACCCCTACAGCACGAAAGATTGCAGCAATGTTGCAGCAATGTTTTCAGATTACAGGGGCAGTGTAATATTGCAGCAACGTTGCAGCGACATTTCTATGTTGTATGCACGATGGAATGATGCAAATGCGATCGTAAGCATGCACTATTGAATATTTTTGCAGTGCAACGGACATGTCAGATTTTATCGTTCAGGAAATACTTTTATTCTCAATAAACTGATATACAGTCTCGTGCACATGCATCAGCTGTTTCCCGCGCTAGAACATATTGCGACAAGATTCACGGTCGTCGACAAAACTGAACTTTACATAACGGAAATCGGGAGCGTGAGTGGTCTCGGCAAACTCAAAAGGTTGGTTGGGCGCAAGGTACCCTCTAAGGAGCACCACGAGCTCTAGGCTCGTTGTCGACACAAAAGTCCGGGGTAACCAATTGCCACCAGACAAACTAAACCTAAATTTGCCACCAGGCGAACTACACCTAACGGCCACACGACCAACGCAACAGATAGGGTAGCTCCAGAGCTTCTTTTGGCGTCGTGGCAGCAGCAGGATTCCGGCGACATCCAGGTCGGCTGAACCGGCGGGCATCTCTTGGTCGGTGGAAGCGGCGTGCTGATCCCTCCAAGGTTGTCCTTTACGTCAATAATCTCAAAAGTGGCATCAACAGCCAAACGGAATCGCCATAAAATCCTTCAAAATCTTCAAGGTGGCTGTCCTGTCCTCATGCCCTTATGTCGTTGTCGAGATGCTCGAGAGTAGAGATTGCGTATATCGTAACAAAAGCAAATAATAATTAGTCGTAGAAAACGTAATCGGAACTGACATCAAGGACGATAGTAGACGTTCACAAACGGAAAACTTAATAATAATGTTGCATACGGAATTTCGCTAGTGGATTGTCGTGCGGAGCCTAGGTTGAGCGAAAAAGAAATGTTTATTAATTTTTGTGGCGCGATTCGGGAGAATCACGTCACAATATATATGCGTGGGCGCGCGCGCGCAAGCGTACACCAACGCTTTTTGTGGGCCTTCTTTGGACTATACCATCACTCCTGACAACTCTGCCGTTCAACCATTGTACACAATACGTTTGGCGTGTAAAGTGGTTCTAAAAAAATTGAGTAAGCCATATTTTTTAAACGAAATGCCGACGGAGAAGGTATTTGCCATCGTCGAATTCGAGGATGGCTTACAAATTGTTCCGTCACTGTGGCTCGATGAAGATGAGGGACAAAGCTGGTGGCCGGAGTTCCTAACCTCAAAATTGTCAATTGATCGAGCAATCACTCGTCAAATGCCACCCACAAATCAGCTTGATATTTGGACAAAACTGAATGTAAAACGGGTCTTTGGAAAGACAGGTAAGTTTGAAGAAATCTAAATATAATAATAATCTAAACAAAATAAATAAAAAATGAATACACTATGGTATAATAAAAAAAGTTTTCATTAGCCTAAGAAACGTCGTAATGACGTTGATGATTTGATGTGTATTTTCGAAAAATAAATATATATATTTTTAAAAATTAATTACTCTTGTTCCATTCTTTGACATATTATAATTCAAATATTATTATCAATTTCTTGAAAACTTGCTGCAACTTTAGTACAATGTTGCTGGAATATTGCCTTAATGCTGCAAGTAATATTGCTGAAACGGTGTTGCAACGTTGCTGGAATGTTCTAAGGTGTGGACATAGACATATTGCAGCAAGGTTGCGGTGATGTTGCAAGCAACATTACAATCTTGCCTTGCAATATTGCTAACATGTTGCTGCAATCTTTCGTGGTGTAGGGGTAAATATAACTTAAGACTAGTTGACTATAGACAGAAGAAGCAATTTATAACTACAGGAGTAGTCGAACGAATTGTAAAGAATTATTGGAACTACCGCAACAAGCAGAAAGAGGAAATGAGATAGGGAGATCTAGAAGAGAAGAATAGCTTTATAGAGTTGCAGTTCTAGGTAGCTTCGAACTTTTGTTCCTCCAGTGAGAAAAGGTGAGAAAAAAGTAATTTTTTGAATATGTACAGAAAAGGGGCTGTAATGATTTAAGCCGGAAGAGGCTGCCAGAAATTAAGCACTGAAAGATGAAATGAGTTACGGTAAGCCGTAGTACGGTGATGAGGAATGTCAAATTCATGCACAGCTAACGAATGCCTTGTTGGATAGCGATTCGTAGTATTTCCGGCGTGAGAAGAGGTGTTGGAGATAGGAGGGAGAAGCCATGAAGAAAATCTTATAAGTGTGAATGCCATGAAAATAATTCCTCTTGCTTTTCACTGACAGCCATTTAAGGCTTAGGCGATATGGGGGGATGCTGTCGTCAGCTCTTACCAAATGAAAGATGAAGCAAATAGATAGGTTAATGAGTCGCTGAAGACGCAGGTCTAAGGAAGCAGTACAATTGAGAAAGACACAGTAGCAATAACCAAGATGAGGGAAGATAAGAATAGAAACAAGCTTAATTCACAGATCGTGGGACAGGGAATTTTTATGAAACTTTAATCTGTGAAGTGTGAAGTTCACTTTTTGTGAGATAAGGGCGACGTGTTTACTCCACGAAAGGTCACAGCACAGTGTAATATCCAGATTTCGAACTGTGTGCACTATTGGTAGTTGGATATCGTTAATCATCACTGGTAGAATGTTAACTAAATCTAAGGCCCGAATGTGAGGATTGTTGCTCAATATAAGAATTTTGGACTTAGCGAGGTTAAGTTTCAATTTATTATTTGTTGCGTATTGAAAGACACCGAGAGTGTCTTGACTGATCTTATTGAGTCCCTGGCCAAGTTGAGAAGATGGACAAGTGAGGTACATTTGAGTGTCATCGGCAAAGATCTTGTGCTGAGTGTGATGAAAACATGTACTAATGTCGTTTATAAATAAGGCACAACAGGATAGGACCAAGGACAGATCCTTGCGGCATACCAGTGGTTGCGGATAGCTAGTTTGAAGTAATTCGGTTATCATCAATGACAGCTTGAGACCGGCCAGTAAGGTAGGAGAAAAACCAAGCTAGCGTGGAGGAGGAAAACCCATTTCGCATAAGCTTTCCAAGAAAAATGTCATGAGGAACCATGTCAAACGCTTTGTTAAAGTCGAACAAGACTAAGATGGTGATGAGTCCGTTATCAATTCCACGACGTATATCATCACACACTCGTATAAGCGCTGTTTGTGTGCTGTGATTGACTCTGTACCCAGATTGTCTGGGATCAAGAACATTAAGCGTGTCTAAAAACACGGAGAGTTGGTTTAACACTAACCCTTCAAAGATTTTAGAGAGCTCGCATAGATTTGCAATTGACCTGGTATCAGAGGGAGATAATGGAGTAGGGATCTTTGATAACGGTCGAATGAACACTCTCTTCCACATTGAAGGAAAGTGAGAGCTGGCAAACGAGGCATTGAAAATCTTAGAGAGAATGGGTGCCATGGGAGTTAGTGCGCTTCTTATGGACAATAATGAAATATTGTCTGGACCGGATGCATGAGAATTAACAGTGAAAGAGTTGATCATTTCGGAGATCAAATCAGTAGTGGTTGGAGTAAAAGCGAAGGAATGATTGGGTAGGTTATTAAGGGAAGTAGCTCTTAAGAATTTTTCTTGAGAGCAAGTAGGCAGTGTGCACGAAACTGTGGAATAGTGATTATTGAGAGTGTTGTGCTGGGAGTCTCCTGACCCTATTAAGAAACGCCAGGCCAAGTAGTTCACGCGTGTGGCAATGCGCTAAGTCAGAACTAAAGGCGGCCTGGCAACCAATATGTGGAAATCTAAAAATCGCACAATAATCACTTTTCGGAAGTCCAGCTTATGGCTGCATGTCCGAAAACCGACAGTCTACAATTAAAATCCGAACGGATAAGGTGGTCTCGTGGAGTAGACTCGGTACAGGAAATAGGAGGACCGAACGGTGCCTATATTTTCGAAGTCGACGTACGTCGACCTACTGTACAACACTCTTGATCGTTTCAATAAACCTTCTCTGTTTTGTTGTATTCACGCGATTTCCGACTCCTTAACCGGCAACGATCCCAAAAGTTACCTTAGCCCTAACCTCTCGAACGAACTCCTTCGTCACCGAGACGTTACGGCACAACAAATTTGGTGACAACGGTGGGATTCTGCCAAAGTGAATTAGCTAAACGGAAGTGTCTGACGTGATCAAGCAGCCCGGACGGGAATTAACCGGAAACGGTAAACGAAACCCAGAGCTGAACCCGACACACACTCG